TGTGGGTTGGGCCCGTATCTCACTATCAGTAGGAGTGTGGACGGGGTTCCATGACTCATCAGTAGCAGGACAGGGGTGGGGCCCAAGATAGACGAGGCCTTAGAACAAGAATCCAGTAGTATATGTTCAATTTGTGTGTTATGATATGATTGTATGTTAATATATGTTAGCGGGCGGGCCCAGAGACAGGCAGGGCCTAAGAGAAACAGATTTGTACACCGAGCGGGGCTCGAAGCCAGGCGGGGCCTGGAGCAGGCGGGGCTCGAGGTAGTGGGCGAGGCCCAGTATTTGCAGTATGCGATTATGTGGATGGTATGTGGTAGGTTGGGGAACTCACTAAGCTTCGTGCTTACAGTTTTTAGTTTTGGTTTCAGGTACTTCCGGTAACGGAGGGAAGAGCTCGGGATGATCGCATGACACACACCATAGATAGTCAGCCTTGGATGTTTTACTCTGATAATAAGAACATGTTTTGAATTAACACTCTGATTTTATGTTAAGAATTATATTATGGATTGGCAATTGTGGTTTAAGTAACGTTTTAAAAATGAAATTTTTAGCCGTGATTTTTGGGATGTTACAGGCGAAGGGCCTATCACAATTTCTTTTATTTTGTACATATGTTAATCAAATCAAGGGAGAAAGGGGTTGCACTTTTGTTGGATGATGATGGTTTTGAATTGATTTCTAAAGACCACAAATGGGTTTTTCTTTTGCAAATTGGAGCTGACGATGGTGGTGGAAGTGGACAACGGTGGGAGTAGGTGGTGGTCGTGGCAGACAGTGGTTGGAGTAGGTGCTGGTAACGACAAGAGAGGTGTGGGGGATGATGATGGTAGTGTGCTAAGTTGGAGATTGAAGGAAGTTGGAAATAAGGGTGAAAATTTAATTATATATGGACTTAACAACAAATTTTAACAAAGTTAGTCATAAAGACCATTTGCATGTGAAGTTTTCCATTTAAGAACCATTGGTGTGTAAGATTTGCTTCAAAGAGACCATTCACGCAAAAAAATGTTCCATATAAACTATATCGGGGGCAAAACCATTTGTGAAATTTTGTCTAAATAAAATAAAAAAATATGGGCCTAAACTGTCTAATAGAAAATAAGGGATCATAAAGTAACGTGAGGGACCAAATTTTGTTACATTCATCAAAGATGTTATATTGAAATTTCATTAAAACAAGTACTCGATATATTCCATAATACTTTTGGCATATCGGGTCATCGTGTCGTGTTTTTGTCTGACACAACACGACACGACAATGTTTTATTTAACACGATCACAACACGACACGGTGTTATGTTCTTTTCAGTAACACGAAAACAAACCAATTAAAAAACGACAAACACGACACGACAAATATAACATAAATTAAAAAATAGTTTATTTAATTAATATTTAATCGTATATAACACGACAAAAACGAAAAAAAACGACAAACAAATGCTAAATCGTGTCAATTTCGTATCGAAATTTAAATACAAACACGATACGACACGACGTTGTGTTTTTTAGACTTGACATGAACATGAATTTAAATTTTAGTTTGAGTCACAATTTCTTTTATGTCATGTCGCCCCTAATTTAATATGAAAAATAATACGCCATAAAGTATAAAATACTAAAAGCAGTAAAAAGAAAAATTCTTAATAAAGAGACGTTATAACTTGTGAATGAGTTACGAATAAAAAATATTTTCTTAAATTAAAATATATCCATTACACTAGCATTGACCGTTTACTTTGTATACAATACGATCAACATCGGCACATAATGACTTTGAATCTTGAGTCCTCCATTTAACCGGTTCTTGAAGTTTCCGAACATTTGATTACCATCTACTCTTTTACAACCTATCAATTCATCAATGCCTCATCCCTTTCTCCGGTTATTCCAAAGTTTTGATTTTGTTTCTCTCAATAATTCTGTTCCACTTAACTATTCTCTTGCTTAATCTTTACTATTCTTCATTCCACTGTCGAGTATTCAACGACTCCGCCATTGACCTCCCTCCATCTTCCACGATTCTTGATCATACACCGGTTCGACCAATGATCTCCTACTATCATCATATTCTTTATTCAGATTCTGAGTAACACGCAAAACCCATTTCCCTGATCTCAAACTACGCGAATTTCAAGCATAAACCCTAGTTCATCCTTTCTGGGTTTTACGATTTGAGTAGCAGCAGTCGCCGGAGAACGTGATTTGAGGTTCTTAACGCTCACCCTTTTTCTCATTAACTGTCTACTGTATCGGGCTACTTTCAATTTTCAATTTTGTTAGGTTAGAAACAGATGGGTTTCTTAGGTTACTGTTAGATCTCGTATCATGTCCGATAACTGTTTGTGAAAATGTCTAGAAATTATATCGATAGAGCCATGGCTTCTTACAAGAAACCCCGTATAAGAGATGGAGCTGTTCGTCGCTTCCTTTTTGTAATATCCTTAACTATAACCGGGGTTCTTTTGCTATTCTTCCTCGTTGCGATGAATTATTCAAACAGTGGGTTATATCAAGAAAACACAGTTGAAATCGATGTTACTAGTGGAGTAATCTATAACATCTCTGGTTCGATCGAGTCGATCAAGCTTCCCAAACATAATTATTTATCAAAAATGTTGGAGAAGAAGAACCAATTACCCCCAAGAAACATCGATTTGTATCCAAATCTTGCCAAAGATCGTATCATAATCGTTCTCTACGTTCACAATCGTCCCCAATATCTCAAATTAGTTGTCGACAGCCTTTCTCATGTGTCAGGCATCAATGAAACTTTATTAATCGTAAGCCACGATGGATACTTCGAAGAAATGAACAAGATTATCGAAGGTATCAAATTTTGTCAAGTCAAACAAGTCTTCGCTCCTTTTTCACCTCATATTTTCCCCAACTATTTCCCTGGTGTATCCCCTAATGATTGCAAAGAAAAAGACGACCCCATAGCCAAAAACTGTGAAGGAACTACTGATCAATACGGGAATCACAGGTCACCAAAGATTGTGTCTTTAAAACACCATTGGTGGTGGATGATGAACACCATATGGGATGGTCTTCAAGAGACAATCAATCATTCGGGTGATATTCTTTTCATAGAAGAAGATCATTTCATTTTCCCAAATGCTTATAGAAATTTGAAGATGCTTACAGATTTGAAATCCTCAAAATGTCCCGATTGTTATGCGGCGAATCTTGCTCCAAGTAATGTGAAGTCAAGAGGTGAAGGGTGGGATACTTTGATAGCAGAAAGAATGGGGAACATTGGGTACACATTTAATCGAACAGTTTGGAGGAGAATACATAGAAAAGCTAAAGAGTTTTGTTTTTTTGATGATTATAATTGGGATATAACAATGTGGGTGACTGTTTATCCTTCTTTTGGTGGTCCGGTTTACTCTATGCGTGGGCCCCGGGCAAGTGCGGTTCATTTTGGGAAATGTGGGTTGCATCAAGGTCAAGGGGAACAAGCTGCTTGTGTTGATAATGGTGTGGTGAATATTGAGGTTGAAGAGATTGATAAGGTGGTGAATGTTAAACCAGAGTGGGGTGTTCATGTTTTTCGTAATCAAGAAGGGTATCAAGCTGGATTTAGAGGGTGGGGTGGGTGGGGGGATAAAAGAGATCATCAATTGTGTTTGGATTTTGCTAAAATGTATCATTTGAGGATCAAAAAGTAGTATTGAATTTGTTGTCAACGGTATGATTAATCAAATATTTTGTTGTATGAAGCTAAAATTATTAGTTATTTTTTGTGATTTGTATTATGACATACGTGTTATTTTCGTTTCTTGAAATGGAATAAAGTTTTGTTTACTATCTTGTGCTTATCAAAGTCTTGATCTTTTGAGTTATAAATTATAAAAAGATATAGGGATATTAACCAAAGTAATTATTAGGAATGAGATTGTTAACAAAAAGGCAAAACTACAAAAGTGGTCCTGTGGCATGTATTTTTTCGTCAGGTTTAGTTCAAATTTTGATTTTTTTGGTTTTGTGGTCTTTTTAAACTAGTTTTTGTTGTGAATTTGGTCCCTCTATAACTGTAATACCCTTAGGGCATTTATTTTTTTATTTTTCTTTCATTTTTTTAATCTAATACTTATTTATTTATTTAAACAATACAAAAAATAAGAGTCTCTCACACACACATATGTGCGGCAATTAGTTACAACCTACCACCCCCTTGTATGACCAACAACCACCTAGCTCCATCTACAACACTCCAGATAAAAACAAATAGCGCTCCAGATAAAAACAAATATCAAATTATTCAAGTACGAAAAGGGAAAACAAAATCATATATTTTACATTATAGGCGGAGATAACCAAGATCTCATCCTTTTATTTATTTATTTATTTTTTTTGGAGGTGGTTGTACTAAAGGTCGGAGCTAATCTGTATAATATAATCATCAACGATATCAAATCACAACAAATTAGAGATGATGAATCGATGCTAGATCTTTGATGGCAGTGTGTTGATTTGGAAGGAGTGTGACAATGAATTCATATTGATTTCTATTCGAATGAAAGAGTTGATGTTTTGATGGTGCTTTCATTTCACCTCGGATGAACGCAAGAAGATTGTGATGTTGGTGGGTTAACAAGAGTGCTTGATCTGAAGAGGTTAAAATCGAGGAAAATTGTTGTTTGTGGAATATGAGGGTAGTGATGAACGAGTTTTAACCTCCGATGATTTGCAATGTTTCGGAACGATTTGTGGTTTAGATGTCTGCATCCCTAAAAATCCCTCCCCTCCCACCGCCTCGATATGAAATCACATGATCTCACAAATCCTCCATCTCCCCTTCAGCTCTAACAATAAAAATAAAAAACGAATTGAGCCCCAAAACTTTTCTCTTTCCTTTTGATAAACCCCAACACAGCACAACTCTTCACTATCAGAGTTGAGTTCGCCACCAAAACCCTCCACATTGACGGAAAGCTCATCATGTTTTAAATCAGGGATACTTCCGGCTACAAGAAAGTTTGATCCATCACAGACTCTATAACGTCCCAAAAATAAGACCTAAAAATTTCATTTTTAAATTAATAAAATCAGTATTCCAGAAACACCATCATAAAAATCCAGGTAAAACAAATGTATCAATCATCACATCATATCAGAGTAAGTCAAGAAAATACGGAACGAGGTGTGTGTATGCACTGCAATTATCCCGAGCTCTTTCATTTGAAAATCGAAGTACCAGAAACATAAACTGAAAACCATAAGCACAAAACATAGTGAGTTCCCCAAAATACCACATATCATACATATATTTGTCATGGGTTACCTCCATGGTCTTTTCCCTGAAATGTCATGGGCTACCCCCATGGTCTGACATCTAAGTGTCATGGGCTACCCATATGATCTTTCCTTGAAATGTCACAGGCTGCCCCAATGGCCTGACATCCAAGTGTCATGAGCTACCCCCATGGTCTTTCATACAAATGTCACGGGCTACCCCTGAGGTCTTCCAAGCAAGTATCACAAAGACAACTATCATTCCACATAACAAGTAATGGGTCGGCATTGGTGTGTTTGACCCATTGATGAGAAAAGTCACCTCAGGCAGCTAAAACCCACAGATAATCTCTGACTACAGATCCGCTAAAAAAATCTCACGCTATCAGTTAACATCAAATTAATAATTGGGTCTCGACTCACACTAAGAGTCCAAATTAGGGTAAAAGACCTCTTCACCCTTTTCCCCACTTGGCCCAAAGCCTAGGCCCAAATTCCAAATAAACACCCACGGCCCAAATATAGAACAATTTTCCAAATCGGGCCCAAACCCTTTTATGGGCGTTAAACCAAGGTCCAAAAATATTCTTAGTCCAAAAACACTTGAATTCTGATGGCCTAACGTGGCCCAAGACAGATAATGCCCCGCGTACTCACCAAGACAAATAATTTCCAACGTGGCCTAGCCCAAAACCGAAGCCCCTAATAAAAGAGACCTAATGCCCCACGTACTCACCAACTTGGCCAACTTTCCCATTTAAGATCTTAATTGATTAAGACCACGACCCAAGCTCATATTTGACTTCCTTTAGGTGGTTAATCACATAAAATTGCCAACTTTATGTGCATGCATGGCTTAATGAAGCTCTTAAAGCTCAAAAGGACTTAATAGATGACTTAATGCATGCATAAGACCATATGCACCATAAAGCTTGCACCTTTAAGCTTAAGAAACTCATAATAGGACCATATCTAAAAGGATAAACCCCACAACCTACTTTACTCATCAAACTAACCCAAAAGGGACCCAAAAACATAAAAACCATGACATGAAGAGATCTAATCAAGGAGAAGACAAGGTATGAACTTGATACCTCAAAAGACTTGCAAAATGAGTGATGATTCTGGATCTCTAAGCCTCACACTAAGCCATGCACCTTCAATCTTCTTCAATCTCTTCAAAATGAGCAAAATAAGCACCAACTTCTCCTTAAGAGCTCAAAGACACAACAATGGAGGCTAAGGGTCTAAATTTAGGGTTTAGGAGGTATGCAGGCTGGTAAAGAGGCCAACCCTAGGGACTTATCGAACTTAAATAGCGTGCAACATCTCAAAACTAGGGTTTCATTAAACCCTCGTACGCCCAACGTAATCCTCGTACGCCCAGCGTACGAGGACTCGGTCTCGCGATCAATCCTTCTTAGTACGCTAAGCGTACACCAGTATACTCCCCGCGTACTGAACTTTGCACTAGTACACCCTGTGTACTCCCTATGTACGCCCTGCATACTAGGGTTATCCTTAAACCCTATAATCCTCCGAAATCCATAACTTCTTCATTATAAATCCAATTTCGACGATCCTTATATCCATGAAAAGGTAACGAGAAGCTCTACGCTTTTATCAACTCATATTTTCCTTCAAATTTCCTAAACAAAAATCCAATTTCCATAAAAGCCCGAGCTGACTCTTTACCAAAATACTAATTGGCTCCAAAACACAAACCGAACACCCGAATCATCTAAATTACGTCACCCACATCCAAATGGGTCCAAATCTCATTTCCTCAAAAGTCCTAAGCCCAATAATACCCGATCTTTGGTCACCACCCCAAAATAGGAAACGATTCGGGACAGGGCGTTACAAACGCCTACTACCGTGGTGCAACCAGCGCACTCCAAGTCTACGATGTTACTTTTTGACGGAGGTCTGGAAGTCATTTGCTGAGAAAGAATCTTTGTATTTTATTGAGACATCTGCTTTGAGAGATACGAATGTGGAGAAAGCGTTTACTGAAATTGTTGATTGAATTATCAGAATCAAATTTGTAGGAAGAAGGCAATTATTTTTAACCCATTGGGAAGAAGAAACCGATGGAGGGATGGGTTTTTTCTTAACTGATGAGAGAGAGAGGCCCTCTTTTTTTGTATTGTTTAAATTAATAAATAAGTATTAGATTAAAAAATGAAAGAAAAATAAAAAATAAATACCCCAAGGGTATTACAGTCATTTTGGTTTACTGAGAGACCAAATCCGCAACAAAACTAGCTCAAAATGACCATGAAGCCAAAAAAGTCAAGGTTTTTACTAAACCTTAGAAAAAATGCATACCACAGGGACCATTTTTGCAATTTTTTCTAACAAAAATGACCTAAGTTTTCTATCTTTCGTGATAATGACCATTTTGTTCGAGTTATTCTGCATTGATCAACGACAATTGTTCGGAATGGTTTATTCTGCATCGATCAACAACAATAGACCCTCGAAATCCCATTAAAATTGGGAAAGGTGATAGTCATGCATCCACAAGGAGTAGGGCAACTGTGTCACAAAGATAACCTCTAACATATGTGATTGGTGCATGCAGAAAAGATGAACACACAAAGAAAGTATATGAAATCTAAGTTATAAGATATAAACATGATATAATCAATCTTTTGAGCATATTGATCTGAGACCTGCAAAATGAGTCACAACAAAAAAGACCAAGTCTATAGGAGCCGTAAAAACCAAGATTCTACAAAACGTGCCATGGTTTTGAAGTTTGTATTTGACGTCACATTAAAATATCGTTTTAAGTCATATATGTATATAAAAATGAATAACAATAATATATATATATATATATATATATATATATATATATATATATATATATATATATATAGAGAGAGAG